ATCCCTGGTGTGAGAGTCTACCTGAATTATACTAAGTAGCTATGTCTAGGAGGGACACTTGCGATTTCTCACGGAGGGAGTAGGGAGCGGGGAAGGAGAGGACAATTTACTGAACAGCAAGCATCGTGCTAGACATTTTATGGACATCATAATAGTTCACCCCTAAGCAAGCCTGTGACATCTAGGGTGTTACCTTGTACAGCTGGGAGGTCTAGGTGCTTGCTGAGGTCACCCAGTGATTAAGCTCACCGAGCTGAATTTGAACCCCCACAGGCTGCCTCCAAACCTTTTCCCTGCCCTCACACCTCTCCTTAACTTCTCACCAACAAAGTACACAAGAGAGGAGGCAGTAGGAGCAGAGCCCCTTGGGGTCTCTAATTGCAAAAAATATTGGTCAGCCTCGGGCAGTTCTGGCAGAGATGAGGTCAGAGTCCAGGTAACCTGTCCATCCCGTGGCGCACTTACTGATGGAGCAGGCACGTTCCTGCTGTGGGCCTCGTCACGGTCGTCCCACCGCCCAGCTGCGCACGCAGGCAGGTTCTTGCTGTGGCCGAGAGCAGCCACCGCGGGCCCTCGGAGAGCGTCACGAAACTGCATTAGCTCATTTAGAAGGTCGTCCCCGCTCCCACCCATCTCGCCAGAAAGGCGGAGAGCATGGATGCTGGAGCCAGCCTGCCTGGATTTGAATCCCAGCTCAGCCACTTATTGGCTGACCTTGGGCAAGTTTCTTAACCTCTCCTTGTCTCTGTTTCCTCATCAGCCAAACCGGTAGGATAATAACTCATAGGGTTGTTCGGTAGGATTCCCGAATACCCGAAAAGCTTTTAGAGCCAGTGCCTGGCATATACAGTGCTAAGCATTCAATCAGGGCTTTATTATTGTTATTGATATTATTATTATTCAGACAGCCAGACTGAAGCCCTGCAAAACAGAGTAACTTGTCCAATGAGACATGCCTAGCAAAGCTGAGACCAGGGTCCCTTCTTCTGTCTCTTACTCCAGTGGATTCGTGTATACTTGGTTATCCGTTTTAACAGTGAGAATAAAGATCGATTTAAACTCCATCAGTACTTTCAAAGTAGTGTGAGCTGTTCCCCAATTTCAAGCTGAAAATAGTTCCTGTTCATCTTCTAAGAATAAAGCGTCTTTGTAAGAGGAACAAGCTGTCACCAGCAAGACTGGAATTGACAGGAGCTAGCTCGGGGCTCCCACCGGGCTCCCGGAGATGATCAGGTTCTGTAAGTGCTAATAACTGCTAGCTGTTAACAGCAATTTAGTTGCAGTTAATTGTGTAATTGTCTGGGGTGTTTCAGAAGAGTGTCTCACTTCTATTGTAATCTTAAAGAGACACAGAAAATAACCAGAAATTCTTGAATAGCTGTGCTGTAATTATACATACCCTAAGAATAAAGAAACCAATTCTCTGTTATTGGGAGATGGCCAATCTGGAACATGTTTTTCAGAGGAGCTGGTTTACGCTAGGGTTTCAGTTACATTATGGGAAAGAGATTACAGCATTGACAATGGGCGTTCTTAGGGCTCCTTAAAAGAATTTGCATGCAAAAATAGGTATTTAGTGGATGTGGAATTTCCAACTGTGGGAACATTCACACAGGCCTCCTGCGTCTCCAACACTGGAAATTCAAAGAGAAGACCTATGTCCCTCCCCAAGGGGCTTGTGGGTCATCAGACAGCGGTGGCTCCCACAGGGACCAAATCGGGGAGGTGGGCACAGACCTAATTCACATAGGGAGAGCAAGGAAGGCTTTCTGGAGGAGATGATGCCCGAGGAGAGTCTTTAAGGATGAGCTGCGTTTCGTGAGGTCAAGAACTTGGGGAAATGATCTTCCAGATAAAGAAGGGGCAAAGGAGCAGAAGCTAAGAAAATTTGCCTTGTTCTATGAGCTGCAAGACCGGCGCTGCTCAGTTAGTCAAGTAAAAAAAAAATAATAGGCAGTGCATTTTTTTTTTTTTTTTTATTTACTTATGAGAGACAGAGGCAAGGAGCCCAATGTGGGACTCGATCCCAGGACCCTGGGATTATGACCCGAGTCGAAGGCAGACGTTCAACAGACTGAGCCACCCAGGCACCCAAGGCAGTGCATCTGTGAAGGGATAAACTTGTAGTAATAATGATGTGTTCTCTGCACTTTCACTATCTAGCTCATTTAATCCTCATAAAAGTCACATGAGGTAGGGACAGTTAATATTACTGTTTTGCAGACAGAGACACTGAGGCACAGAGAAGTTCAATAAGTTTTCCCCAAATCTCACTGTTAGGAAGGGAGGGCCAGGATGGAAATCTAAACAGCCTGCTCTGAGTCCATACCTCTGTGTGAGCTCACAGAGAAAGCATCTGTTTGGTTTGGAGCTATCTACTAACAAACCCAAGATATCTACTAGATCTTACCCACTCCCAACCCAGATGAGATCAGCTTTAACCCAAAATTCCATGGCTTGTGGGAAGTTCACTGACTTCCTGGAAATTTCTGTGAATTATTGGAGGCTTGTGTTTTTGTTGTTTCCCATGGTTCACATTCTCAGTGTAGAATTTCTGAGCTGTTTCTTGGTCTTAATCCTGTCTCGGTGATAGTCCAGTGGTGGGCACAACCCCTTCTCCTTGATTTAACCACCTTTCCCTCTCCCCAAGCAATGTAAGCATTGACTTAAGATTTGGGGGCTGGCTGTGACCAGCGGGTCCCAATGTATGTTGACTGTAATGTGAAACAGCCCCTCCCCTCACAAACAAGACCAGGTGCGGACACAGAAGTGCACTGTCCTGGGAGCAAAGCAGTGGCAGGCTATCGAGGGAAGGCCAGAAGGAGCCCAGCCCCTATGGTTTGGGTCGCAACCCTTCCCAGTCATGGCTGTGAAGGCTGAGGAATGAAGAGAGGAAAGGCTAGTGAGAACAACATGCTGAGACCTGATTTAGTACCATTCTGGTGCCTCAAAAAACAAGAACTCAATTAAGAAATAGAGTAAACTTCTGGCTTTTTTTGCCAAGCATGCATATAAATTATAGAAAGTTGAGTGTTCCTGAACTATTATACTTCCATTATTTTTATACATCTATTATCTAAAACTTGGTTGTGATTTTGACTACATTAGTCTACACTGGATCCCTTTTGTATCACTTGTTTACTAGTTATAACTATATTTAAGAGTTGTCTGTGACCTTCTATTTCTGCATTATGACTCTACCTACGTGACTTTCATCAAGGTACTTAACTTCTCCTGGTCTCAGTTTCTTCATTTGTAAAATGATTATAATATTCATCAAAATTCCATCATGAGAATTACCTAATCAAGTGCACAGTACAGTGTCTGAAATGCTGTAAAGCCTCAAAAAAATGTTAGCAAATATTTCCCCCATTAACCAAAAGTTGACTGTAGTTTAGTATGGCTGACGCATGGAGGGTAGGGTAGTGGTTGTAGAAAGGTTGGAACTATCGGTGGAGAAGTGAGCTGTCACCAGATCACAAGGATTTTTTGGTCCTTACCAAGAGGATGGATTTTATCCTACTGGCCACAGTTTCTCAAGCCATCCCTAATAGGAGTTTGATCTTCTCTTTGTAGGAGTGAGGGTATGACCCAAGATGCTCTCCAAAAACATAGTATTGTTTCATTTCCTGTTTAATTTGAAAAATCCATAGGAATTTCGTGTTCTAGTCTATAACATGTTCAGTAGGAGGGAGGTGAAGATTTCAAAGATCAATTCTTGGTTGAATGATTATAAAATGAATGGCATCTGAAAGTAGTCTCAATATACCTTATAAAAAAAATTCTAACCAATTGAGCCAACTTTTTAAGATGTCCCAATTTCAATATCATGGTATCTTAGGGAATGCTTCTCAAACCACACTTATATATATATTTATATATATATTTATATACAGAATCAATGGTTAAAACACTGTGAATTATATAATGCTTTGTCTTAGAGCTTTAAAAAAAATGCTGGACTTTGGGGGCGCCTGGGTGGCTCAGTCGTTAAGTGTCTGCCTTCGGCTCAGGTCATGATCCCAGGGTCCTGGGATCGAGCCCCACATCGGGCTCCCTGCTCCGTGGGAAGCCTGCTTCTCCCTCTCCCACTCCCCCTGCTTGTGTTCCCTCTCTCGCTGTGTATCTCTCTGTCAAATAAATAAATAAAATCTTTAAAAAAAAAAAAAAATGCTGGACTTTGGAAAACATTCTTACACAAAAAAGCAAAGAGAGGATGGAATGGGCTTGTGTTCAGATAATGCTGAAAACTCCAGCCAAACTGTAAAGTGATTAAGAGCCTGTTGGAACTAGGATTTGTCCATAGCCTTCCCAGGTGACTATGATTTAATGAATGGAAGTCCAGGAAACTCTAATCTTCACCTCACTTTTTCAAGCCCTGACTAGAATCATTGTCTAAGGGAAATACCCCTGTAATAATTCATGCTGTCAGCAGGATTCCTCTGGGAAGGAAGTAGAGGAAAGATAACAGAGGGTGGGGTCAGATCTGCAATCCTAGGAAAGTCAAGGGAACAGAGGTGGTCTGTCTTGCTGTAGGGTTGGCCTTGCATTCATGGGGTCTCTGAAAATTTCCATTAGAGAAAAAATCCAGGGCGCCTGGGTGGCTCAGTTGGTTAAGCATCTGCCTTTGGCTCAGGTCATGACCCCAGGGTCCTGGGACTGAGCCCCACATCGGGCTCCCTGCTCAGTGGGGAGTCTGCTTCTCCCTCTGCTTCTGCCTGCAGCTCCCCCTGTGCTCTCTCTTTCTGTGTCAAATAAATAAATAAAATCTTCTAAAAAAAAAATCCTACTTTCTTACCAAGAAATAGCTCGATATATTTTGTAGAAAAACCAACCCCCACACACTTTTTCCATGGCATTTTTTAACTGTTAAAGAGAACAGAAGTGTTAAAAAACAAACCAACCAACCAACCCCACAAACCAACATGCAGAAACTGGCAAGTAAAACATTGACAATAGGAATCTGAAAGTCAAACCAGAATGAATTTTTGAAAAGTTCAGGAAAGGAGACATGGAAGCTATTTGGTAAATTACAAAGTATCATCTTTATATTTATTGGGTAATACCCATACGCCAGACTTTATAGTTCATGTTCTGTAAAAGTCACAGGAGAGCCTTAACCCAGAATGCTGCTTGAAAATGATGAGATCTTTGGTAATATCTCACTGAGGCTGGGTTTTTAAACCTCCTAATTAATCTTAAACAGATGATTTATGTAGAGATCATATTTAGTCATAAAGCTTCATACTTCCTGCTTATGCTTAGGCTATTTCATAGCTTACGCAATTATAATAGATCATAGTTGGAATTGAATTATAACCGGGCAACCCTCTTGGGTCCCCTCCCTCCTTGGGAGCTTTGTACTATCACTTTGCTATCACTCAATAAACCTTCCTTTGCTACCCACCAAAACAAAACAAAACAAAAAAGAATTATAACCAAACATTATTCTAATAAATAAAACCAAAAGTTTGGCATAAATAAGAGTTTGTAAGGCTATTACCCCAACTTAGAATTTATTTTAGCATCTGATGTGGACCAAAAAAAAAAGGCACAACATTTTAGATAGATCTAGCTAGGTAAGTAATCAAATAATATGTAACATCTCACTAGTATTAACTTATCTAAAACTATGTATCATTATTATTTTCAAAAATAGATGTATCTTTCCCTAAGTGACTGGAAAATTTTAAAGAACATATTTTAAAAGCCCAATAACCAATTTTCATCTTTTCTTTTTCTAAAGATTTTATTTGAGAAAGAGCGACAGAGATAGCAAGAGTGAGCACAAGCGGGGAGGAGAGGGAAAAGCAGACCCCCTGCTGAGCAGGGAGCCCAACAGGGGGCTCTATCTCAGGGCCCTGAGATCATGACCTGAGCCCAAGGCAGACACTTCACCGACTGAGCCACCCAGGAACCCCCCAATTTTCATCTTATTTAACAGATAAAAGGTTATTTTTCACTTGTGAGCTCCCAGTTGGCACAAACTACCTGAGATACTTGACATATATACATTTTAATTTCCCTTTTGTCATAACTTAAAATTTAAAAATCAAGTAAATAAACCTTTATATTGAAAAGTATTTTGGGGCGCCTGGGTGGCTCAGTTGGTTAAGCGACTGCCTTTGGCTCAGGTCATGATCCTGGAGTCCCGGGATCGAGTCCCGCATCGGGCTCCCTGCTCAGCGGGGAGCCTGCTTCTCCCTCTGACCCTCCCCCCTCTCATGCTCTCTCTCTCATTCTCTCTCTCAAATAAATAAAAAATCTTTAAAAAAAAAAAAAGTATTTTGATTCATTTTTTTAGAGAGAGAGAGCGTGCACATACGCAGGGTGGGGGCAGATGGAAAGGAGAGAATCCCAAGCAGACTTCCTGCTGAGCATGGAGCCTGATGCAGGGCTCGATCTCACAACGCTGAGCTCATGACCTGAGCTGATACCAAGAGTTGGATTCTGAGCCACCCAGGCGCCCCTTGAAAAGTGTTGTTAAATGATCCTGGTGTTCGGGGTAGAAAACTGCTTTGCTAGTGTACATTAGGTCATATGGCACATTTGAAACCTTGCCACTCTCTTCCTCTTTCTGCCCCCAACTCTGAGGAGGATATAGAAAATAAAAAAGACAAAGGGAGGGAGAGAACCTTTGGTGGCTCAGGTAACCTTCAGATTGGCCCATCTCAAACTTCCAACAGGATCTGGACAAGTTTGCTGCACCCATATATGCTGTTATAGCCTGAAAGGGTACAACAGTGTACACCAGGGGCAGGCAAACTCGTCCTATAAATGATCGGAGAGCAAATCTCTTTGTATGTGTCCCAACTCCTCTACTCTCTGCGACTGTGGCATGGAAGCAGCCAGACGATCCACGGTCTAAGGAGTATGGCTGTGCTTGACGAACAAAGTTCAACTTAATTTTCATAGCATATTCTTACTCTTCTGATGTTTTTTAACCATTAAAAAAATATAAACACCATTTTGAGCTCCTTGGGCCACACAAATCAGGCTGTAGGCCAGACTTGGCCGGTGAAGCAGTGTGTGCTGACCAACCCCTCACCTACACTCCCGGAGGGTCAGCAGGTCATCACGCCCAGACTTCACGGAGGCCCTGACCAATCTTACTCGAGCGGGAGCCTCGCTCTTCCCTTTCTGCCACTGTTGCTGGGGCTGCAGGGATATTAAAAGTGACAGAAAAAGTTACAGATTCTTTTAGTATCTTTTTTTTCCTTATCTGGAAGGTTTTTTTCAGGTTTATTTCTTAAACATCTAAGAGGGCATTACCATCTGATTTGATAAAACTAATTAGGTTATAATCCACTTTCTCATGCTTTTTAAGATTATCATGTTTTAAGGCCTACTGCTATTATTTAATCAATAAAAAAAAAACCCAGAGATTTAAGGGGGGTTGTATATTTTCATTTTTTAATAAACCACACAGCAAAACAATACTTTAATAAATGTATAGGAAATTACAATTTGAAAATTGCAAATATGGTACATATACATATACTATACTTTGATCTTAAATTACATGGGCAAACCCCAGCTTCAAAATCTTCCTAAAATCAATCATATGCAAAATACCTGGTTTCTGAAAGGGCAAATGGAAAAGTATATACAATTTCTTAAAGGGGATATGGCTTACTTAATAACATATTTTTTTTAGAGAAGCAAAAGCTTTCCAAATACACAGTATCTTCCAGGTGCAAAGCTGACATACTACTGGCCATTTCAATTTTGCGTTGCAGTTACTTCAGGATATACTTAATTACATTATTTTGACACTGTCATAGATTTAATTGGGGAAGTCTCCATAAATGTTTTTCAGTCTTACCAAAAATCAGAAAATGTTCGTTGGTCCTCACACTATGATTAGAAGAACAGCGTGAACCCTCTGTAAGCGAGAAATCAGTGACAGGATGACCTGCATGCACATACACAGTTCCATACTGAGGAACTCCCCCACGACAATTTCTTCTAATTTGCAGGTTCCTACCAACATCACAAAAAATATCCCTGATTGGTGAGCTGTAAGTCGGATGTCCTGTCTGGCAAGATGCACATGACAGATCTGTAGTTAGAAATAAAACTTCAATCCTTTGAAGTCCGACTTGTCCCCCCTCAACACAGCATATATAGCAAGGTGTCACTACTCATTTGTGACTAATACCCAGCTGGCTCATGAGCTAAGCTTGGTTCCAAGACAAACTGAGCCAAATGAACTAATCTTATATCTATTAACACATTCTATAACTTTAAATTTACTATATGTAAGCTAGAGTCAACAGCAAAATTGCCTAAAACCTTATTCCAAAGGGGTTCAAATTCTGTAAGAACACACTATTCATCATGGTGAACCAATTTATATAAATTCATAAAAGGAAAATGTAGGGGGGCCTGGGGGGCTCAGTCGGTTAAGCAACCGATCAATCAAGCAATTGATCTCACTTTAGGCCTTGATCTCAGGGTCGTGGGTTTAAGCTCAGCGTGGAGCCTACTAAAAATAATAAAAAAGAAAAAAAGAAAAAAGAAAAGAAATTTAGCTAATTGTGCTTGTTTCAGAAGTGAATGACTATCTTTTCTAAAGTAATGAGTAGTTGTTTGAGAAACAAAACCCAGAGTCTTACTAGAAATGATCTTCACTCATGGCTGTACAGTGTAGTCTATTGCTATCATACTTATTCTGTAAAGTTCAGTGTGCAGAGAAATTTGGATCAGGACAAGCAGCTGTTAAAAAAAAACGTTCTTCCTCACCTAGAAATACATTTATAAATGGTGCTTTGTTTCTGAAAGATGGTTTTCCTCACATTAAAATGAACGGAAAGCTCATGTATCTAATCTCGCCTGTGTCTATTCTGGGAAAATTCTACTAAAGACAAACACTGTCAGTGAAGACACTTGAGTTCAAGAGACAGAACCAGAACACTGAGACTTTCAAGAGCAGGAAACTTAATTTTAGAAAATGCAAATAAAGTACCAAAATCTGAAAAGAAAACAGTAAAATAAGAGATCCTGTGATTTGGCAAACAATACTGATGGGAGCTGCAAGCTGCGAAAACCTGGGCTCACGTTACACAAGGCACAGCTCTAATATAAAGTGTATGTGGGAATTCCATTTGCTTGTGGTTCTTCATTTCAAAGCCCTCTGAGAGATGCCTTATTCAACTGTATTCCTCACATTAGATTTCTAAGGCAGCATGATCGTTAATGAAAAATAGGTCTTTCCCTAAAATCAAAACCCTGCCCTCTGGCCAGAGTTGGGAAACACGGGTTTTATGTATACAAGTAACTCTGATTATTTGCAAATGTTAATTAAAATACATCACACTGAAGAAACTGCCTAGTTTTTATGCTGTGATCTGTTCTCCCAGTGCAAAATTAACCATGCTAGGTGTTTATCCACAATTCGCCACCGCTTGTCACAGGATGGTGAACTCTTCCTGTGAGGGCTGGCTGAGGGGTGTAACTTGGGGTTGCAGCTCGGCAGGTGAGGGACAGACCCAAGGCTCCTTATCAGAGGCAGACCACTCCCTGGTCCCCTGGTCGTATCTGCTAAATTCACACACTGCTTTGTGGGTTTTGTCAAGTTACAAAAAGGGAAATCTATCAATTCTCAGTCTCACAGACCCAGTAAAGTACAAAATCTGTAATCCTTGCTACAAAAGACAAAGACAGGAAACTTCATGTGTACCTCACTTTAAATAGAACACAGTCATTAAGATTCACAGAAGTTTTCAGTGTTTCTGCATTTTACAAAAGGCTCCTTTTCAATCCTCGAATGGATTTTAGACTGTTTTATCAAGTAACTTTTCAAGAAATAGGTTGATATGAAAAGTAAGATATACCTATTTAAGATAAAGGGAAGTTTACAAGAAACAAGCTCCGTGGACATGGGAAACAACTACAAATATGGGAAAATCCATTAGCATATAATGGATATTCTTTTCCTTTCTCTTGCTAGGCACCCCAAAGTCCATAAATGCCCAGATGTCCACTGAAATGCTTCTCATTTATTCTTACTTGCCTTCCATATTTATGAGAATTTTGGTTTAAACAGTTTATATACCACCCAAATTTTTGAAAAATTCAAATCATTATTTTAAATGGATCCACAGTAAGAATCCCCTAAAGTTAATTTTCAATTCAATTCAGTAAATACTTACTGGATTTTACTCAATACCATTAACCCTCATCAACCCTTTTTTGGGGGATACGATCAACTCATAATCATCTTTCAGGTAAATTCAGATTTTATCTTCAGTTTACTTACAGTGAGGTACTTGGTAAAAAGAGGAAATCTGTTTCCTATCCTTCTTTGATATTTATAAGTCATCTGCATGTTTATGTAGGCTTTCAGTTCATAACCTGTCTGTCCAGTACACTGTACTCTACTCATGAGTCTCTGCGAACCCAAAGAACCATAGCCATTCTTGGTTAAGAAACTGTCCCTGTGAAAATGGACTCCTGAAGTGCATAAAGATAATCTCAAAACCAACAGTTGCAAAATGGAACATGAATAGTCACAGCTGCCTCTTTAACACAACTGTTACCAATTAGGTTGCATTCAGTTTGGAAAGTTTCATGGTTAGCCTCCCCACACCACAGACTGAATGTCCATCCCTATTCCTGTGCTTTGAAAAACACAAACACTAGGTCAAAAACCCTCGACTTTTCTTTCTTTCTTTCTTTCTTTTTTTCCAGAGTAATGTCTTCTCCCTATCTCTTTGGGCATTTCTGCTGTGGTATTATTGGAAAACCTCAAAATTATATCTTAGGGTTTCTGGAGTCCCTGGAGAATCCCTAACCCATATCATCAAACAGAAAATCTCTCTGGAGGAATGTGGTTAATCCACATGTGAAAGATGGGCATTATAAACTGACCCTTAGTCCTCCAGAGTTTTACCCGGAAAGGCCCCAAACTGACTAACTGGTAAGGAGGCCAGAAGCAAGGTACCAAGCAAACTTCTAGTTCTTGAAAGGACAGAGGACCACTGTTTATATTTTGCAGTCTCCTCCTATTCTTAAGTAAAGATAATTCCATGAACAATAAAAATGATTTCAGGAAGACTTAAATCTGACATTCCACACTCCATCCTTACTCCTATATTTTGTTTTACATTATCATATTGTAACTTGAGTTTAAGATGAACTTCTGCGATTCAGAATAGTATTGAAAATACTTCCTAAATAATCCTAATGACAGTGATCACAATATGTAAAGATTTGGTTCTGATTAAGATTACAAATAACCCAAAATGTTAACTCTGAGATGCAAAACCCCATAACATCTGGAAAAAACTGTTTATAAAGTATAACTATAATAATAACTAAGTTATTTGTGAAATAAAACATTTCTGAAATGTGGGAATACATGCTTATTCCACTCTCTGGATAATGTCTAGTACTCTCTGAAATCTGCTGAGAAATAATTTCTGTAAAAAGAGAGCTGGGTGTCAAATTTCAGAAGCCGAATGTCAAGATTACATAATAAAAAAAATTCAGTTTTCCAGCACTGGCTTGATAAAAAATGGTCTTTAAAAAGGATTTTTAAATGCAAATACTGAATTCTTGATGCTTCCTTTAAGACATGTACTTTGTCATAATTAATGCAGTGTGGTCTTGGATTGTCTTCTTTGAGGTATCCGTGGAGTCACATCTTACTCTGTGAATAGTGTTTTGGAAACACCTTCATCTGACAATCAGGGTGAAGTCTCATCTTACCATTAAACAGAAACTAGTGCTGTCCGGCTGGAGTGACTGTTCTGAGGGACCCTGCTTGATGTGGACACAGCTGGTAGGGAGTCCATTTCCTCAGGCAGATGTGCGCATTTACTGCCCTCAGCTCTGTGACTGCAGGATGAATAAGGCAGTAGTCCCCAAAACGTATCAAGTTAAGGACTGGAACTCTGACAATGTGCACAAGTTCTGTCCACTTCTTGCCTGTAACTCTGAAGCTGAACAGTGCATTTATACATGCCAAATGTGTTCAATAATACATGCTTTGCTTTGGACTGTACTTCCTCCCATTTAGATGAACTTCCAGGAACTGCAATGTCAAGAAAATACTATTACTATTCATTGTACACAGTTACAATGACACAGGGGAATAACAATATACAGTGAACCTATTCTTATTCGTTTGATTTCTCCCCCTTGAAGCTACTCTGTTAGAGAAGTACGCCAGTTTCCAAAGCCAGGATGGCTTCTCATTATTCCAATCCCTCCAGTCCACTCGCAGGTAGAGAAAGAATACTAGACATCAATTACAAATCTTTTGCCTGTTTTTTTTTTAATAAACCCATATACATATTATTTTGATAAATAAAAAGCATCAATCTGTGAAATGACTTTAGGAAATAAAAACAGGTCTAGCTTTTCTTACATAGGAAAAGCATGGTAAATATACTTCATGCCTTAATCTGAAGGCAAAAATCAATTTGTAATGTCTCATCTTAGGGGCGCCTGGGTGGCTCAGTCGGTTAAGCATCTGCCTTCAGCTCAGGTCATGATCCAGGGGTCCTGGGATTGAGTCCTGTGTTGAGCTCCCTGCTCAGCGGGGAGTCTGCTTCTCTGTCTGTCCCTCCCTGTTGTGCTCGCTTGCTCTCTCTCTCAGAAAGATCTCAGAGATCGAAAATTATTGCTCTGCTGTTACTGATCTGCAACACACCTTTTGAAAAGCCTGACCCCTCCCTTAAAGCAAATCTTTCCAGCAGAAAAGTCTTCCTGCTTAATTATAAGCACAGATGTTTAATTCTAAAGAGAAAGTCCATCAACCCCAGCATTTGCTATCAGCAACATACTTAGCTGTATGTGTACGATGGCAGTAGGTTTTCCTGAAGTAAGAGACCAGATATTTAAATCTTCCACGGAATATACATCTTCTATTTTCATCAAGGCTTCTTTGATATAGTCTACATTCAAATGGCTTGGTACACCTATTAGTTCAGAATATATCATTTATAAGTAAAGCTTATTTTGGGGAAGAAAGCTATACATAAATGATAGAGCTTTTTTTTTTCCCCAAAGAAACCAAATGGCTTTATCAAATTCAGTTTAAATGGACACTTTAAAATATCTTAATACTTTAAGATAAACCATGCACACATAAAGCAAGATATGTATAAGAGGTTAATAATTTTTAAAATGTTCACTCTCGCTAAAAGAAATATCAAACCTGAATACTTCATTTAACAAATAAGCTGGGATACACAAAAAAAGGAAAAAAAAAAGGGGGACCATCCAATGATGATGAACCTGCTGTTGAGAACTTACATACTTAGACATAATATCAGTAAGTAGGCATGTTGAAAATATAACAAAGTATCAAGTTAAATGGGAATTAAGGAATTAATAAGCCACTAAACATAATTATATCAAGAATCAAAAGAGTTGTATTTTTGTCCCAGCTCTACAGTTTATTAGCAGCATTACCTTAAGTAAGCAAGTTATGTTACCCCTCTGAAGCTCAATTTCCTCGTTGGTAAATGGGGATAATGTCCACCTTACCTACTTTTCTTAGCTATTATAAGGATCAAATGGGTAACAGAGGGAAGAGTACATCAATTCTTATATGCTACATACACATAAAGTCGTGTAACTATAGCCTAATGAGCATCAGTAAAGAGAAAGGAAAGACATGACTCTTACTCTAGAGTGCCCCCCACCGTCAGTCTGATTAAGGGAGGTAATAAACCCACAATGGGGATATTATAATGAGATCTTACCTTCTAGTATTATAACTATTGTGTCCCATATGATGCGAAATGTTGTAAAAGCCACAAGTAATGAAAATACATATGTACAGATGGGATCAGCAATCTTGTATTCTGGCTGAAAGGTGACAGAACAAAACTGTGTGATTAAATACAGACCAACATAAAACAGACTGTAAAGCAAAGCAAGCCATACTCTGCCCCTGTTCTTTAGCCTTCTATACCAGGACTGAAGAATACCTTTATTTTTGGATACTGCAATTGAGAAACATCTTCAGTCTTTCCTAGATTGTTAAAAAAAAAATTTTTTTTTTTTTTTTTTTTGCCTTTCCTTGTAAGACCTAATTCCAGAAGTTTGATCATTTGTTCTATTGTTTTCCTCTGTGCCTTCCCTAAATCTTCCACCCAGAACCATAGAATATGAGAGCTGGAAGGACTTTTAGCAGCCACATATTTGGTCTAAGCCTCTCATATAAAAGAGGAGGGACTTGCTCAGAATCAAAGCATTAATGGCAGAGCCAAGACTAGAACCCAAATCTCTGGATTTCTAGTCCAGTGTACATTCTGGTACCTAGCAGTTCAGTGACATGGCTTAAAATTGAGTTCCCTAGTGAAGGCAGTCTAGAAGCCAGCTACAGACAAGTTAACTCTGTGAAATGACACTATCATGTTTACTGCTAGCAAAAGAGCTATACTGATGGCTCAATGAAGCCTACCTAAATGCAAAATGAGTAAGGCTGGCTTTGATATCCAGTATATTGATAAAAGACAATTACCTTAATATTTTTAATATTGAAATGAAATATATTTTAAAATAGAAAAACCAGCAATCCTATTACCTTGAATCTTATGATGTATGCAGCTATTAGTACACCAACACTCTGCACCAAGTCCCCCAAGGCATGTACAAATGCAGCTCTCACTGCCAGGCTGTCCTGCCCATGGTTGTGCCGACAGCCAGAACCTGTGGTAGGAGAATTTGAAGGCAGGGAGTGGGAATGGGAGTGGTGACCAGACTGGTTCAACAGAAACCCCATTCTGTCAAAATAAAAGAAAACATTATTATTCTTCCTAGTATTGTTGGTAAAAATATTTGTTACAAATCAGACATTAATGAGGCAACATGGAACTCATTCATTTAATATATATATGAGCACCTATTATATATCAGGTACTGTTCTAGGTATTGGGGTCAAAACAGTGAATAAGACAGACATATCCCTATCCCCATGGAGCTTATGTTCTAGTACAGAAGGCAGAGAAGTAAACAAAGAAATACATAATATACTGCCAGGCAATGCAAATGGTTTGAAGAGAAGTAAAACACGGCGAGGGGATGGAGAGTGCTGGGGCAGTGCAGTCTGTCAGAGAAGGCCTGAGAGTCCTTCTGGGCAGAAACCTGGATCAAGTCAGGAAGCAGCATGTGGTGGTGTAAGGGTATGCTAAGTCGCAGGAATACCAGGGCAAAGGCCCTTAGAAGAAAATGTGCTCTATGTGTTTCAAAAAAGCAGGACAGTTGCTGTGGCGAGACTAAAGTGAGCAAGAAGGGACGACGCCTGGGTGGCTCAGTTAAGCGTCTGCCTTCGGCTCAGGTCATGATCCCAGGGTCCTGGGATGGAGCCCCACGTAGGGCTCCTTGCTCATCAGGGAGCCTGCTTCTCCCTCTGCCTGCTATTCCCCCTGCTTGTGTTCGCTCTCTCTCTCTCTCTCTCTCTCTGACAAATAAATAAATAAATAAATAAATAAATAAAATCTTTAAATAAATAAATAAATAAATAGATTGAGCAAGAATGCTAAGGTATGAGTTAGAGAGGCACACAGGATCTTATTAAAAAGGCCATGGTAAGGACTTTGATTTTATTTTAAGTGGGAACAGACGCCAGTAGGGCAGGGATTGGCAAACCATGGTCTGTAAACCATAGGTGGCCCACTGCCTGTTTTTGTAAATAAAGTTTTATTGGGACACAGCTGTACTCATCTGTTTACATACTAAATGTGGCTGCTTTTGTTGTCTAACCGCAGAGTTGAGCAGTTGTGACAGAAACTGCCAGGCTCTCAAAGCCTAAAATAGTTACTATCTGGACCTTTACAGAAAAGTTTTCTGACTACTGGTCCAAATAAGTATATAACCTAAAAATTTCATAGTTTTCAGGGAAAAAGTTTATAGTTTAAAAAAAATCTTGTTAATATAAAAGTTAAAAAAAAAACTTTGTCCCACTTAAATTCCAAATTATTTGTCAAATTTCAGTATAACTGAGCAAATGAGAAATTTATAATTCCATCAGTGTTTTATTAACATAAGAAAAATTAATATGCCATATAATTTAAAAATACATAAAAATACCACTGCACATTACTGAATGCATGGTATAATAGTCTCTAAGTTCACAGAACTTAAAAATATTAATGTGAAAATAATATAGAGCATATGATACCATAATGGTATGTACATGCCATTATAAAATTGTCCAAACCCATAGAATATACAACACCAAGAGAATTACATACGGATGTAAACTAGGGATGCTGTATGGTAATGTGTTAATGCTGGTTCATCAACTGTAACAAATGTACCACTCTGATGGAAGATGTTCTTAATGGGGGAAGCTATGCATGTATGAAGGCAGCGGGTATATGGGAAATCTCTGCACCTTCCGCTCAATTTTGCTGTGAACCTGTAACTATTCTAAAAAATAAAGCTATTAAATTTTTTTTTTAAATAGAGCTTACATTACATTAACAGCAACTCCAACTGCTGCAGTGATGAGCATTATATCTCCATTTATTTCGTATTTCATATGGATAGTTCTTTGGACAGCTTCATATAGGAGGAATCCCATAAGTATATACACCAACAGCACACTAATCATAGCTGATAAAACCTCTGGAGGGAAAAATATAAACAACAAATATATCTGTAGCATGATTATTACACTTCATACAAATTAAATATTGTACAATATTTTATTTATATCTTTCCTCTGAAGAGATGAAAACACTGTATCATTTCTGTCATGTTATTTTCCTTATTTAAAAAGTGTTTAGTAGTTTGCTCTGGATTCTCCACCAATTCATTCTCACCACTCCCCACTTTCCCCTCATCTCTTTAAGGTCAAACTGTGTATATTTAACAGACCACATACATGGTAAAGAATGAAAAACTGAAAAAAATTATTTGTAACGTACATGATCACAGACTAATTTCCCAGTAGAAAAGTACACTTACAAATCAATAACAAAGTGAAGAATGCATAACAAAAATGGATAAAGGACACAAATACTAATACAGAGAAAATTAACAGAAACAACCAATTTATCAAAATCAATCATAATACAAGAAATTCAAATAAGAATATAATTGTTTTTTATCCCTTACTAAATTGGTAAATATTAAAAAGTTTGATGATAGCCACAGTTAGCAAGGATATACTGGTGGAAGTATCAAGTGGAACTATCTTTTTGGAGAGCAGTTAGTAAAATGAAGCAAAATTTTAAATGCATGTATTCCTTGATTCTAGGAATCTGTTCAATAGAACACATGATATACATGCAAAGATATACCTACAAGGTTTTTCACTGTAACTTCACTAGTATCAAAAAATATCTGGAGAGAGCTTAAATGTCCATCAATGAGGAACTTAATGGATAAAGTATAATATATACATATAGTGGAATATCATAAAGCCATTTATGTTAAAAAAAGAAAAAAAAATCAGGCAAATTGATAATCACAAGAAAGACAAGAAAGTGTTACATCTGGGAAGTGGGACTAGGAGCTTGGGAAACTTAGTTTTCATTTTATTCTTTTTGGTAATGTTTGAAATGTTTTAAGTTTTACCACAAACACATTATTACTTTTAGGCTAAAGAAAAATAATAAGGCATGCAAGTATTCATGAATGCACTTTGACCCAGAAATTCTTCTTCTTGGAATGATATACACATTCATGTTAACTGAGCTACACATATGCAAAATGAGGTGTGTTATGAAGTTATTCATCAAGCACTGTATATAATAGCAAACAACTGAAATCAATAAAAAAGTGATTAGTAAGGGCCCGATAACACGGAATACTATGCAGCTGTTAAAAAAAGGATATAGCTTTTTATGTTCTGATAAGGAGTAATCTCCAAGATACAATGTAATGTGAAAAAAGCAAAGTGTGTATGGTATGTTACTATTTGTGAGAAGAAAAAAGAGAATACATAAATAATATCTGTACATGTAATCTTTGAAAGGACATACAAAATACTGATAAAAAAACTGGTTATGAAGAAAATGGGTGGCTGGGAGACAGGGACGACTGCACTATATATGCTCTTATATCATGTGAACTTTTACCATGTGAGTATACAGTAGAGATAATCTTGTATCTTTTCAAGATAACACAATAGGGCAATGGGAAGTACTTACATCTTTAAATAACTAACATTATAATATAAAACAACTACTGACACTCAAAATAATAAAAGCAAGAAAATACTTTTAAAGAAAACTTTTCCTTTAGAGAAACCAGACACTGATCTTGTTAAAGGTAAAACAATCTGGGAAACTGTTATCTGAGTCAAGTCACTGCTCAAAGGTTCCAGGCAGTTCAAATATATTGAACTTTGATACATTTTTATTCTGATGCATAAATTACAACAGAGGAAAGTTATCTAGCAGTTATAAGCTGTTTCCTGAACACATCTCAGTAATGTAGCTAAACTCCAATAAAATCCTGTGCATTAGCAGAACAAATGTTGGGAGAACACAACATACAAAACCATGGTTTTTGTATTCAAAACCATGGTATGAAAACAAAACAAAACAAAAAACCATGGTACGCCTATTTCTGACATACTAATCATCACACTTCAAAAGACACATGCGGCTGAAGAAGACCGAGAAAGACACTCTGAAATACACAAAGCTGTGGAGAGACTACCACATCAAGTGCAGACTCTCAGCAGCTTGAGGACAGGACCAGTTCCATTCCACATCACATTTTCTGTGACATTCAGCAGAGTGGTTGTCATGTAGCAAATATTTATGGATGGATTTGCTGAATGAGGTTAGTTAGGTTGAGCAAGGGGAGATGATAAAAGGCTATACAATTAAGGGTAAGCTAAATGTGAATAATAGGTTATTTACTAAATCCCAAAAAACAATAAGTAGATTGGTTAGAAGAGAAGAATTAAGCCAAATACAAGACAGAAAATGCATGGAATTTCTCGTCTTAAATTATAACTGCTGGTAAAGTACACAAGTATTAAAAAAAATAACTAAAATATTTTTAAACCGTAAATTTCATGTACTAGCAGTGCTTCATTTTACTCACAAAGTAAGAGAACTTTCTCTTTAAAATTGGTATTTAACAGGGTCGCCTGGGCAGCTCAGTCATTAAGCGTCTGCCTTCCGCTCGGGTCATGATCCCAGGCTCCTGGGATTGAGCCCCACATCAGGCTCCCTACTCCACGGGAAGCCTGCTTCTCCCTCTCCCACTCCCCCCTGCTTGTGTTCCCTCTCTCACTGTGTCTCTCTCTGTCAAATAAATAAATAAAATCTTAAAAAAATAAATAAATAAAATTGGTATTTAACATATACCAATTCTGGGGCAACTGGCTGGCTCAGACAGTAGAGCATGCAACTCTTGATCTGGGGGTTGTGAGTTCGAGCCCTACGCTGGGGGTAAAATTTACTTAAAAAATACCAATTCTTCTCAAACTCTTCCCCTCCACACACCCCGCCCGAAAAAGAGAACTTTATCATGTAGTCAAGGTTGAAGCTACCAATTAGGCCATAGAGTTTTTAAGATGACTTAATCAAATTGTTAATCTAAAATTATAAAGCAATACTCTTATAAAAATTCATAACTATACAAGTTAATGACAAAGTTGTGATTGCTTACGAAAATCTAAAACCAATACTTAAAAATTCTTTCAAAACCCCCTATAATTAGGTTGACAATACAGTTTTCCTGGGATAGTCCCAATTTATGTCTGCTGTCCTGGCATAATTATTAAAAATGTCCCACTTCACTCTCAAAAGTGTCCTGGTTTGGATGATAAGTGGTAAGTTACACTAGTAGGTATGCCAGATAAAATACTGGATGTCTAGTTAAATTTGCATTTCAGATAAATAATATTTTAGGATAAGTATATCCCATGCAATATTTCAGACATATTGGGAGTCCTGCAAGAGTGTGTGTGCATGCGCAGACCACACACTAAAGCTGGCAACTCCATATCCCAGTGATAATTTTCCTAAACACTTAAAATCACCTTTTTGTGAACTTTTATACAAGGCACAACCAATGAAATAAAATTTATTTTACTTCAAAATAAAGTTAAATGAAAGTCAAACTAAAGCATGAACAGAGATCCTTGGCAGGGAGGATTCCCACACTTAGAAGGCCCACTAGGCTCCTGCAGCCTACAGATGAACACTCACTCTTCCACACCAGTTTTCACCCACGTGAGTAGCATAAAAGGGATCCCAGCGTCTGCCCACAGTTAAGAATAATGGAATTCAGCTGATTCCTAGAAACTGCTAAACGACATATTAGGACGCTGCTATCAAAGATATGCCTTTTCCAGCAATTAATGAAGAATGTGTCATGTCTCATTCCCTTGGTGAAAAGCAAAGACATTCAACTTTTATTTTTTATTCTAATCACCTGTCAAAATGTCTTGTAGACAGAATACTGATAAATGCAAAAAGAAAAAAAATTTAAGATTTTTAGGGCTGAGATTTATAACGGAGAAGTATAAAACACAGATAATACTATATAGCTAAAAATCCTAGTAGTAGTAATACGATCATTTATTTTGATAAAAGCTCTTTCACTGTGAATAAATTCAACTGGTGAAATGTCATGAATAGGACGAATTAGCATTTGCAATTTTTTTCATAGTTTTTTTTTTTTTTTTTTTTTTAAAGAGGGAGGGATGGGGGGGTTCGGGGAGGGACAGAGGGAGAGAGAGAGGACCCACACCCAGTGCAGAGCCTGATGCGGGGCTCGATCTCACAGCCCTGAGATTGGTGACCTGAGCTGAAATCAAGAGTCGGACGCTTAACCAACTGAGCACCCAGGTGCCTCTTTCATAGTATATTTTAACATGATGGAATGTAGATAAACATAGGCAAGATTTTTTCCTCCCAACATTTAAGAGAGAGGGAAGGTTTCCATCAACAACCAAATTATGACTTCTCCAGTCTTCTCATTCTTGCTCTGGGTTAGTCTCCGGTCACAATAAAGTTTTTCAACACAAAGGCGTACATGACATATGGATTTTTCATTTTTGAAAGGAGACCCAGAACTTTCACAATTGAAACCCCAGATTTCCATGAACGTTACTACCCCAGGAACTTTAGGTAAACTTGACTATAAATGGAAATTTATCATAAATGAAAAACTCTTGAAAGAGATTTTTATGGAAATTCTAGAAAATCTATTATCATAGTAGTTCCAACATATTTTGCTACTTTATGCACAAATAATTAAATCATTCATTTGACTGAACTGTCACACTGGATGAGAGAACAAGATGAGTGAATATGTGTTTTTTATTATAACATCACTTAGGTCTTTTCATTCAGCTGAAATATAAACAAATGTTTATGGTCAATGATCTATTAAGGCCAAAATATACCCTGAATTTCACATACAGAGAATAAGCAGTTTTGGTTTGAATGGCTAACAAATGGTAAGAAAAAATATCAAATGGGAGAAAATACAGATGACTGTCAAGTTTTGATAGTACTATAAAATGTGAAAAATGTTTATTGCATATTTTAACACATCTATAAATTTCCAAAACTAGACGTTTTCAAGATTTATATGAAAAACACCAAGTCCTTCTCTGTCCTCCTGTTACTCTTCTTATAGTACCTTATTCTTTT